AGGACTTTGTTTGACATTATTATTTTTCGTAAACATTATTAAATATTTTAATAATTTTAATCTAATATTCTTATCAAATTACAATAATACCCTTAGCTTTTCGTAAACATTTCAAAATTATTAATATAGAATAATATAAACATTTTAGAAATTATAGACTAAAATAGTAATAATACAAAATTTAAATTAAAATAAGTCGAAATAATATTTTATATTATATTATTTTTGCGACCAATAATCTTAGATTTTATCTTTCCATATAAGAAAAAAAAACTTATGAATTAGATATTAAATTATTAATTAGTCATTTTCAAAATTGCCATTTTTTCAAGCATTGTTTAGCATATGTCAACTCTTGGGAATTGACGATTGATGATGTTGGCTTTTTTGTCATTTTACCTAATTAATTTTTCCAAATATCTTTATTAATAAATTATGCATTTTTTTAAAAAATAATTAGCTAATATATTTTTTTCAACATTTAATTATGATTACTATAATTATTATAGTTGAACTATATTAAAATAGACCATAAAAAAATATAAAAAAATTATTCTAGTGGGCTAATATTTTTTCCTTATTTAAATATGATTACCCAAATTGTCCATAAAAAAATTATTTACAATATATATTAATTTTAAAATCAACTAAATAGAAGATATCAGTTAATTGCTACATGAAATAAAAAAAAAATAAAAAAAATAAAAAACTAAAATATATAATAGAATAACTGTAAATATATTAAAATATAGGGACTAAATTGAAAATTTTAAAAGTATAGATTTTAATAAATAATAATTAAAAAAGAAAACGGGTCAGGAGAAATGGAGAAAATGGGCTGTGGTTTTAGGAGGGGATGAAATCCAAATTTTCTATTGGGCCGACACATCGGGATGAAATCCAAAACCTGCAGATTAGGGTTTTGAAGTTTCCATGGGCCGACACGTCGTTGCTGTATCAAAGACTCTAGCATAAATCAAGTGAAAGCCTCGCCGCTTTGTTAGGTTAACCAGTGGCTGCTCTTCCTTCTGTGGAATCTCTCGAATCCACTGACCTTCGCGACGCGGAATCATGCCTCCGAAGTTCGACCCTAGTCAGGTGGTGGATGTTTTCGTTCGCGTCACCGGAGGTGAGGTTGGAGCAGCCAGTTCTCTCGCTCCGAAGATTGGTCCTCTCGGTCTTTCTCCTAAGAAGATTGGAGAAGACATTGCTAAAGAGACCGCAAAGGAATGGAAAGGTCTTAGAGTTACTGTAAAGCTCACTGTCCAAAATCGTCAGGCGAAGGTCTCCGTTGTTCCTTCGGCGGCGGCTTTGGTAATTAAGGCGTTGAAGGAGCCGGAGCGTGACCGGAAGAAGACTAAGAATATCAAGCATAATGGCAATATTTCTCTTGATGATGTGATTGAGATTGCTAGGGTTATGCGGCCTAGATCGATGGCAAAGGACCTCTCTGGCTCCGTCAAGGAGATCCTTGGAACTTGTGTGTCTGTTGGTTGTACTGTTGATGGCAAGGACCCGAAGGATCTTCAACAGGAGATTAACGATGGCGACGTTGAAGTGCCCCAAGATTGAGAGTAAAAGTTTCTTTGGCCATTACTTTAGCACGAGGGATTGAATTTACCACAACTTTGTTCGATCAGTTTTGCTATTTAACATGAGTTTAGCATGGTTCTTCTATCTCTTGTTTATCTGCGTTTTTTTGTTGGGTTTTATTTAAAAAGCTTGAATTGGATTATGGCAATGAATATCAAAGCTTCATTTCTGTTCATGGAAACTGGATATAAATTTCATCTTTATTGAACATATTTTCTCCTGCCGAGAAATTGTTTGTATTTATCTTTATGAGTATTTCTAGGATCTCTTATGAACTCTAAAATAGTATTGTTTCAAGATTTTGATTTTATTAGCAATAGTCTCATGAACAATAAGTTGGAGGAATTTGATTAGGCTTTTGAATACTGGTTGCTGTATCTCCTATCATGCCCTCTAGTTGCCCCAAGCCCCGACATGATACTTGAATTACCCAACTTGAAGATGATTTGCAGCCTGCTTGGATGGCCCCTTTCGTACCCATTTGTTTCTTACTGATATGCATTCATCAGCAGGGAGGAGCCATCACTTCTCTGTGTTTGATGATAGAATCCTGTGTTTTTTAGTGTCTTCTGATTATTGCCGGGTGGTCTCGGAAATATTTATTAAAAAGAATAGATTCCATATATTTCTTATGTACCCTAGGAGTTATATTGGAATTAAATCACATTTCGAATCAATCTATATTGATTGACTGCCTCCACGATCTTGTTTGGATCTTCCAAATCATTCTCTAGGGATTAGACCCTTCTTTTTCTTTTTTGATTCACCCTTGGAGTTGAATCCTCGTTCCAGAATTGTTTTTGATCCAATTCATAGGACTCAATAGAAAAGGCAAATCCTTAGCTTAGATCTTGATTATTGACTTGAGTATTGGGCGAACAAAGTTCGTCCAAAACTCCCACCTATTGCTCTCTACACCTATTACCAATTTGATTATTGACCGAGTGTCGGAGTGGTAGTAGTTTACCAACCCGATTATTGTCTTCCGAGCACAATACAGTTTTCGATAATATAAATTTACCGAACAATATATTATTTTAATTGCATATTAGTAATTAATGTCGAATACTAATATACCATTTTTATGTACATGATTGACATATTTTCTTTTACTTTTCAAACTTTTTACATAGGCTAGAGTTGAAATTATGCTATATTAACAATTTTTTTTAATCTTATGTTATATCTACTATCATTTTGGCCAAATGCATATGCAATCCCACCCTCATGTAATTTTTTTATGAAGCTGTTGTAAGTTTTTAAAATATTGATATAATTTAAAATTTAAAATTCTAAGTATTATTATTATTATTATTATTTTTTTGTGTGTGATTAGAATGAATAAATAAACCAAATTAAAAAAAGAAAAAAGAAAGTAAATCCATAGGAGTAAATGGCTCGTTGAAAATGACTCTTCTCCTAAGCCCTACGACTAAATTCGGAGTTGAAAGCTTTTGTGGTCATTTGAAACGGACGAACCAAACCACAAATCCCGTAACACACAGACGTGGATTAACAACTCTTTGGAAGCCCCATAAAGTGTCGAACCAAATTCCAATTTCCAAATTCAAATCCATCTTTCTCAATCGGAGCTCACATTCACTCATCTAAGCTCACCTTCTCTCTGCTCCAATGGCTAATAACGACATCGAAGTCGGATCTCGGGGGTCCCTGCCGAGGAAGGACTATTTCGAGCCGCTTCCGGCGCCAATGATCGATATGGAGGAGTTGGCCAAATGGTCCTTTTACAGAGCCATAATCGCCGAGTTCGTCGCCACTCTTTTGTTTCTCTACGTCGCCGTTTTGACGGTCATCGGTAATAAAACCCAGACCGATCCCCTCAACGGCGGTAACCTCTGCGGCGGAGTTGGCACCCTCGGAATCGCCTGGGTCTTCGGCGGTATGATCTTCGTTCTCGTTTACTGCACCGCCGGCATCTCTGGTAATTCCCTTATCTTCATTTTTCCCCAATTTTCAAAACCCGGAAAATTAACCGGTTGGGTGTGCAGGAGGACACATAAACCCGGCGGTGACATTCGGAATGTTTCTGGGGAGAAAGATATCGTTGATTCGCGCCTTGCTCTACATTATAGCTCAGTGCTTGGGGGCGTTATGCGGCTGCGCCTTAGTCAAGTCACTACAGAGAGATCGCTACAACCACTATGGCGGTGCTGCCAACCAGCTCGTTGACGGCTACAGCAAAGGCACCGGTCTCGCCGTCGAGATCATCGGCACCTTCGTCCTTCTCTACACCGTCTTCTCCGCCACTGATCCCAAACGCAATGCCCGAGATTCCTACGTTCCTGTGCTGGCTCCACTCCCCATTGGGTTCACTGTTTTCATGGTTCATCTCGCTACAATTCCGATCACTGGCACTGGCATCAATCCAGCTCGAAGCTTCGGCGCCGCCGTGATCATCAACGATAAACAAATCTGGAAAGATCATGTATGTGTCCAGTTTTGAAGAAATCCCTTCTTGATTTCACGTTTTTTTGCAACGAATTAGAGATTTGATTGTGATGGTAAATTGCAGTGGATCTTCTGGGTCGGACCGCTGATCGGAGCAACCATTGCTACGATGTATTACCAGTATGTTCTTCGAGCCTCCGCCGTGAAAGCAATTGGATCCTTCAGAAGCACACCACCAACGCGTTACTAATGTTATGGACACAACACAACCAATCTATTTTTGATAAGTAGGAGAGATGAACCAACCGAACCGAGAGGAGTAAACCGAACCAAGATGGGCGGTTTTTTTTTTTAATTTTAATTTTTTTTTTCAATAAGAAATAAATAGTTTTCAAATTTTTATGGGGAAAACCTTCTACCACAAAAGTAAAAAGCTAGAGAACAATTTTATTTTGTATTTAATATTTTTTTTGTAATTATGCTGTCAATATGTATTTATTTATTTATTAGTTTGTATTGGACGTAAGAGGAGTTATTGATTAAAAAATAAGAAGAAATTGACATTTATATTGTAAAAAGAATTATTTGAGTTTTGATCAACCGGATTGAATTTATTTGTAACTAATAAGTTTATTTAAAACGTCTAATAGGCCTCTAAAATTTTGACCGTGTATAATATACTTTTAGTTTTTTTAAAAAATTTATATTTAATAGGTATTTTAACCTATTTGATACTCTCTTAAACTCTACTATATGTTATACCTAATATAAAAATTTAATTTTCTATTATCACAATAAAAGATTTATTAAATTGAAAAGAGTTAACCTCTAAAATTTTAAGTTTGTATTAAATAAATCTCTAAAAAAAAAAAAAATTTAAAATATATTTAATATCTTAAAAGTTTAATCGATCTATAAATGTAAAGAATAAAGAAATAAAGAACCGGCATTTAAAATATATATAATTACTAAAAAAATTATAAAATATTATAATTTCATAGGAATAGGAAATTCCCACTCCATCGAGGACGTTTTTCCTTCGACCCATCGGTTTAGCGATTCCGTCGGAATCTTCCAGTTTCTTCGCACCCGGCAATCTCCATCTACAGGTACAGATCACATTCGCTTCCTCTCTCTCTAACTACTATTCTTATTACGATCTGCTATTCTGGAATCTCAATCTATGATTGCTTGATCTTGTTCAGTGATTTGTTATTCTGCTCTGTGCGATTGATTCTTCTACTTCATTTACCGGCAATTGCGCGCGCGCGCGCGTATTTTACTTTTTGTCCGCCGAATTTGGTGTACGGCTGTGGTTACTGACGAGATCTTTGTTGTCGAATCCTTTTGTTTTGTGTTTCCTGTTCGGTTTGGATAGATAGCCGAAGTTTTCTAGATCTATTTGTTCTCTTAGATTTGGACCATGAGTAATCAAGAAACATAGGCTTATACGCTTAATCGATCTGCGTCGACTCCCGCCGAGTTATGAATTCTGCTGCTTGCAAGTGTAATTAAGTGTCAGATTTCCGAATTTGAAACTTAAGATTCATTTGATCTAGGGAATTTATAGGTTTTCAATTCTCGGTCTTACTTTTGACGCACACAATTGATTTACGATTTGCTATATAAGCAACTGAAACTCTTGTCTATGATTCGTAGTAGAAGAAACTTTTGGTGAACTAGGTTTTGGGTTTAGGTTATGAGAAGCATTCGAGACAAGGTTGTTTTATGTTCTGGTGCATGAGATCTCTAAGCTGACTAGATTTGAAACTGAAGGTGAGGAAATTTCAATTATTTTCTTGTACTTTTCCTCTTAGGTAGTTAATGATAAGACTACGAAAGACTAGGAGTTTGGACTAAAATTAGTGTGTTAAGGAGAAAAAACAATTTTTTCTATAGATTAGTTTTGAACTGCGTCAATATGATATAAAGACTATATTTGTTGAAATAACTCTAAAATAATGCACAAAATGAAACCAGCCGCAAATACTTATTTGCATCGGAAACCATGATGATTCTTAAACGAGGGTTGGAATGACACTTTGAGGCAGCAACTTCTAAGCTTCAAGATTTATGGCTTCTTTGATTTCTAAGAGCAAGGCACAGGCCTCATGGCTCTTATGGAGGCTGTGCTGTATTCTTACAAGTATTACATCATCTTATTTGTTGAATACTAATACTCGATCAGCTGCTCTTGTGATACTATAGTCCATTACAACTTTTACTACTAAGACTTCGGTTTAGAAATTGGTCCGAGTCAGCTTAAGCATAGTTTATGGTCAAAACCTACAAGTTAGACATTTGGATCCCCACCCCCACATGTGTGAACTAAAAAGAAAAAGGTTTGATTCAATTAATTATGATAACATCTCCAACAACATTTAGCAACGTAGTTTCTGCTCCGATCGTCTCTAGTGGAGTTTCAGGCCCTTCTTTTACTTCTTCTTCTTATTTTTTTTAGAAAAAAATATTTTCTTTTTGTAGGAGAATATGGCAACTAGGGGTCAAGGTGGTATCCAACAATTGCTTGCAGCAGAGCAAGAAGCTCAACACATTGTCAATGCTGCCAGAAATGGTAAACTGACTCTTTTATTTTGGTTTTGTTATATACTTTTTAACATCCATATGCATGTAAATTTGTAATGGTTCAACTAGTTCCTGGAAGCATGTAGGTTCAGTTCATAATTTGCTTGACACGAGTTTACAAGGACCATTATCTTCTCTTTTACTGCTATCGATTTACTTTTTTATTGTTGCTTTATGAAGTTGAACATAATCTATAACTCAATGACTTTGGGTTTCCTGTTTTCTTTAGCAAAATTGGCTAGACTGAAACAAGCCAAAGAAGAGGCTGAAAAGGAAATTGCTGCTTACCGTGCCCAAGTGGAGGCTGAGTTCCAAAGAAAACTCTCTGAGGTTGGTATTTAATTATATTATGCACTTACAACTTTCTCTTGCTGTGAAAAAAGCCATTCTAAGATGTTAATATATCTGCTAACTTCTGTTCCTTTGGGGTCTTCCAGAATATATCTGCTATCCCATTTGGCACAGGGGTTGCCTTCTTTTGTTCATACTATCAGTGAAATGAAGGAATCAAAGTTTCTCATAAAAAAAAAATATAGTTGCTAACTCTGCCCTTCTTGCTTCTCCCATCTCACTATCATTTTTGGTCATATAGAGTAGCGGGGATTCAGGAGCTAATGTTAAGCGGCTTGAAGTCGAGACAGATGCAAAGATTGCGCACCTGAAAGAAGAGTCTGCTAGAATTTCGTACGATGTCGTGGACATGCTCTTGAAGCATGTGACAACCGTGAAAAATTGAACGTCTTGATCACAAAGGTTGCAGTAAGAAACTCTAAATTATGTTATTCTTTTTGTGGTGCCTGGAAACGGCTCAAACTGCATGTGTATTATGGAGATGAATCCTTTCCTTTGCATGGATCAGCAGTCAGTACTTTGCAGACTGCACTGTGTTGAATAATATATGATTTGATTCAATGTTCATTTCTATGTTTCATGAGGTTGAATTGAATGTTTATGAAGTAACACATTCCTGTTGTTGTCTTGATTTATTTGCTTGATAGCTTCATTATGCATCCAGGGTTCTTCCTTATCATCTTTGGATCAATATTTGAATGGAAGTTTGTATTAGAAGTCCTTGCATGATTAGAAGTTTGTAAATCCCTTTCGTGTACAGCATACCTTTAATGTGTACTACATTATTTTACAGCATAAAATAAAGAAAAAGTGTGTGTTTGGGAACAAGGATTGTTATTCCTTTTCGGCATAATTTGTTTATTACTATTATTATTATTCCTTCATGAAACTGTGGTCCTTCAATCAAATTCCAAGGTTCTTCCTTATCATCTTTATCAGTAACAACATGGCCAATATTCTGCTCTGCTTAATTTACAAAATTTGTTTTTTTAAATTTGAATATTATACTTTTTGGCATTAATATTAGTTTGGGAGTTTTAGTTGGAAGGTTCTTCGTTATGTGGGGCTCGGTTATCTCTCTCTACTATTTCAATTGAAGAGGATGAGTCATATCTGATTTGTCCCTAGGACGACGATGATGTAAGCATATGTTGTTAGGATCGATATTAGTTGTTAGCTCTGATACCAATTGTTAGGATTGCTAAAGGAAGAGATAATACAAAGAATATTATTGATGACTTTTATTATTGATGACTTCAGGCATGTACAATGAAATAAAAGGAAGAGAAGTAGGTTTTGAGAGTATAGCTAATGAGTATATATATGGATTCAATTTACTAAATATAACTTCAAAAGATTTAAACTTAGATATAATTTAACAAATATATTTCTATCAAATCTTTACCAAATAGTACCATATATATCTTTGTCAAATTTTGACCTAATGTCTTCCAAACATATTTATACTAATCTTTATGAATTGTCTTCCAAATATATATCTACCAGATCTTTCCTAAATATATTCAAAATATATCTCAATCAGATTCAACCTATGTTTCATGGTTATGGTTATATGAGTAACAACAATGAGATCGTGCTAGTAGAAACAGGCAGAATTAAGATGCCATTAATATGAGAAAGTTTAAATGGTTTATTTGAGCAATTTTTTCTAACTAATAATTTTATTTTATAAAAGTGATATTTTTATTTATTGAATTTATAATTTAATAGTTTTTAGAGAGGAATGTGGGTCCATGGAAAGATATTAATTAAGCCTTTTAATACATTAATTTCATATTTTATTGAATTAAAAACAAAATAGAAAATATAAATTGATTTTATAAATTAATTCAAGTAGAACCAAAATACCTTTTTTATATAAATAAAAATGGATTTAGTGTGGTGGATAAAGACAATTATGGTGGGGTATAGCATTTTTTGTTTCTTTAATTTTAGCAGACAAAATTTCATGGGTTTCCAAATAAAAACATTTTTTTTAAAAAAAAAGCATAATTTTCTTTTTTTTTTCTTCGCCACACCTTTTTCTTCCTACTTTGTTTTTTAGTCCCTGTCTCAATTCCGATAGGATGAAATAACTTGAACTCGGAAAAAAGAAATCACAAGAAATGCATCTTTATTGGCTCGTTTAGATTCTCGTGTAGCTCAATATGAACTTAAGCTTAAAAGACAACCAAATACCCGATATTAAGAAGCTAAGGTGTTTAAAAATTATGTTAAGACATTTTCTAAATCCAAATAATCCTATTCAAATTATTGACAATTTATGAGGATAATCACAACAACATGGTCACATTACTAGATCACTTAACGTAAAAATGGTCCGTAATATTACAATTTTCAAAAATAAGATTTTTTTTAATCCCAAAATTAGGAATATAATTATATATATATATATACACAACTTAGGAATAAAAAGGAGGAGGGAGGAGAGAGAAAGTGAAGAGGGAGGAGAGAGAAGAGGGGTGGGTTTGATCTCCAAATGGGATGGTTCTTCTGGGTGGAGCCTTGCGCAATCCCCATTATACCCGCCACCAAATCTCCATTCCCTTTCTCTCTCCTCTCCTCTGTTCCTTTCCCCTTTTCCCAATTGTTTTAGCTGTTTCCTCTGTCCTTCCCCATCCAAAACCACCGCCCCCTTCCATTCCCTTCTTTTCTATATCCCCATCCCTCCTCTTCCCCTTCTCTCTGCCCTTTTCTGAGCTTCAAACGGGCCTGTTCTTCTTCACGCCCCTTTAATCCATCTGGGTTTTTGTTTTTCCGATTTGGGTTCATCAGATTTGTCTTTTCTGCCAACAAATATCAATTTCCATGGGTAACATTGGGAGTAGCGGTTCCCATGGCCGGAGACGACACGATTCCCGTCGGGGACATCCGACTCCACCTCCACCTCCGCCGCCACAGCCCGAAATCACAAGTAATCGGTTCGTTTTCGCCGCTGCAACGCCCTACCCATCGCAATACCCTAATCATCCGAATCAAGCGCCGCCGTACTATCAGTACCCTGGTTACTTTCCGCCGCCACCTGGTCCACCACCGTCGATGCCGATGCCCTTGCCGGCGTCTTACGACCATCAACACCGCGCTGCCCATCCCCATATGGATCCTGCGCATTGGGTCGGTGGGAGATATCCTTACGGTCCTCCTATGCCGCCCCAAACGCCCTATGTTGAGCATCAGAAGGCGGTTACCATTCGAAATGATGTTAATCTCAAGAAAGAAACTCTTAGGGTTGAGCCCGATGAAGAAAACCCCGGCCAATTCCTTGTATCTTTCTTGTTCGATGCCACCGTCGCCGGGAGGTATCTTTCTAATCTTTGGAGCTTTTGTTCTGTATCTGTGATTGTTAGTTCATTGTTCTTTCATTTTGCTGCTTATTAGTTTCAATCATTTGCAATTCTGGAAAAGGCTTAAACCATAAGAATGTAAAACTGGGCATCACTAAATATAATACAAATTTTCGAATTCGTAGTAACTTTTTGAATACAGATTCTAAATCATTGATGGATTGAGTGATCTTTGAGGGCTGTTTCAAGTCTTAAAGATGAAAGTGGTGATGAACCACTTGAGCCCATGTTGTGGTAGAATGACAGTCTCTACTGTTATATTTTGAAGAGAAGGCAATGAATTGGTGTTGTTTTTCGTAACTATTGCCATTGCAGACAAGTATTTCGAGTATCGATACGTTTCTGTAGAGGCATAGTCTCTTTTGTTAAAGGTATTAACATTCTTTAGAGATTCCACATTGGTTAGAGAGGGGAACAAACCATTCCTTAGTGTGGAAACTTTTCCCTAGTAGATGCGTTTAAACTGTGAGGTTGATGGCGATACGTAACGGGTCGAAGTGCACAATATCTGCTAGTGGTGAGCTTGGGCTGTTACAAATGGTATTAGAGTTAGACACCGGGCGGTGTGCCAACGAGGATGCTAGCCCCCAAGGGGTGGGTGAAGGAAACGAAACATTCTGTGTAAAGGTGTGGAAACTCTCCCTAGTAGACATGTTTTAAAACCGTGAGGTTGACGACAATGCTTAATGAGCCAAAGCGGACTGCTAACAGTGGACTTGAGATGTTACAAGTGGTATCAAAGCCAGACACTGGACGGTGTGCCAGCGAGGACGCTGGACCTCCAAGGGTGGAGATTGTGAGATCCTACATTAGTTTGAGAGGGGAACAAAGCATTCCTTATAAGGGTGTGGAAGCCTCTCCCTAGTAGACGCGTTTTTAAACCGTGAGATTGACAGCGATACGTAACAAGCCAAAGTGGACAATATTTGCTAGCGGTGGACGTTGGCTGTTACAAATGGTATCAAAGGTAGATACCGGGCACTGTGCCAACGAGGACGCTGGCCCCTAAGGGGGGTGGATTGTGAGATCCCACGTCGGTTCTTTTGTAAGAGGTATTAACATTCTTTAGAGGGTCTTTCTGTTCTGATGCTTATTCATCTAGATTTGTCTGCTTCTTTAATAAGAGATTTGATCTGGGTTTCTGCTAGCCTGAGAATTTGGTTTTCTTTTGTCTTGAAACAGTATCACCATCTTCTTCTTCGCGAAAGAAGGCGAAGATTGTAACTTGACGCCCGTAAAAGAAGACACTTTTCAACCAGTGACTGTCCATTTCGAACAAGGCCTCGGACAGAAGTACAGACAACCTTGTGGAACAGGAATAGATTTCTCAAAGTTCGAAGAGTCGGAGTTAGTGAAAGTAAATGACACAGATGTCTATCCATTAGCTGTTAAAGCCGAGGCTTCTACCGAAGGTCAAACCGGCCCCGATGGTACCGTGGTACCTGAGACCATGAATTCTCAGATAACACAGGCAGTGTTTGAGAAAGATAAAGGTGAATATCAGGTAAAAGTGTTGAAGCAAATCCTGTGGGTCAATGGTATGAGATATGAGCTGCAGGAGATCTATGGAATTGGAAATTCAGTCGAGGACGATGTCGATGGAAGCGACCCTGGAAAGGAATGTGTCATTTGCTTGTCCGAACCACGGGATACGACTGTCCTTCCCTGCCGACACATGGTAACAACAAACAACACTTCTCTTGCAAAATGTTTCGTTTCGACGATCTTTTATACCTACGAAATCCATCTCTTGTGCATTTATCTGTGCTTACTACAGAGTATTCTTGATTTGCATTAACTTGTTTCTGTTGTCATTGGCAGTGTATGTGTAGTGGTTGTGCTAAGGTTTTGAGGTTCCAGACGAATCGATGCCCGATTTGCAGACAACCCGTCGATAGGCTCTTAGAGATAAGGGTCAACAATGGGGCAGAAGAATAAGGAATGGTATACTATCATTATGATCATAAGAGAACTCTGTACAGCACTGTGTTTATTGAATTTCTTCTTGTATTATCTGAATTTATTCTCTTTTCTCCCCCCTGAATTTCCTACCTGCTGTTATAAATAATCAAGAAGGGAAGCTTTTTATGCCAAGGAAGAAGAAGAAGAAGAAGAAGAAGGAAGAAAAGGAAAGAAATTGGTATCAGTTGTGCTTGTGTTCTCATGCCCAAAAGTGTCATTACAATTTTTATCTATTATATACTTCAGCTGAGCCTTGCTTTGTTGCCTCCGAATTCTCGCCATTTGTCCGATCAAAATTTGATTCGGAGGCAACTGATGTTCGTTTTTTCTTCTCGTTCTAACTAGCTAAGTAGTTGAGATCGTTTCTCAATCTAACTAGCTGAGTATTTGAGATTCGTTTCTCGTTCTAACTAGCTGAGTATTTGAGTTTCAGAAAACAAATGATCGAATGATGTGCACGACATGACAGCCAATCTAAGCATAGTTTAGAAGATTACCTATCGTACATATGCTTATTATCTTTCAAAGTCTGAAATCTTAAAGTCCATTTGAGTTCGGTTTGTTTAAGGTTGTCTTGTTGTGTTGGAGAAAAATTAATAATATCGAAAGTTTAAGATGAAGTAAACATAAGGAAATTAATTCAATTCAACCAATATTAAATTTATACATCCACTTTTTTCTTTTTGCTTTATTCTTCATCATCCTAAGACAGCTTTTGAATTTTTTTAATCAAATTTTAATAATATTTTCATGAAAACAAAGCATCTATCATGGGTGGATTAAAAGTTTATATATTTCATTTAATAATATTTTCATGTTCGAATCTTTAGAACATTATAATATATGACACATCATACACTAAAAGTGCTACAACTCTCCACTGTCGAAGCAACACGTTAACATTATGATCAACTTTATAATAAAAAAACAAAAGTCAAAACATCATAATCATACTTTAAAAAAGGCTAAAGCAAACACAAAGGCGTCCTTTATTCTAACCAAAAACCATGCAGATGCAGTTCATAAGTTCAGTACTTCATAAATAAAACAGAAGAAACAAACAAAGTGGTTGCTTATTTAGTGCTAATTGAGTGCTCAACCACACAGCAACTCATAGGTTTCCTTACCCATCACAAGCCAACCAGACAAGATATGATTTCAGAGTTTCATGGAGGAAGGAGCATCTAGAAACCATTGATGAACATAGACACCACTGTTCCTCAAATCCTTGAACAGATCCATACAGTCTCTCTTCAGCTCACCGTCTTCATCAACCCCATCTCTGCAGCTCAGAAACAGTTCATCCACCCTGCAAATGACTCCACTTTCAAACAAATCCGATAGAAACTTCAGTTCTTCCTTCCCTGCATCCATTTTCAATACAACAAAATCCGAATGCTGCACGGTTTCCTTGAACCAAGAGAGAAAATCAAAATCATTGTTATCGACGTATGGCTCTTCGTCTTCGTTGTTGGTATCATTGTCATTATCGGTAGTTTGATCAGTTCCAGCTAGGCCAGGATGATAAACAAATGTGATTCCAGGCTTGTGGATATGGGTGGCGAGAGCAGACATATCATGATCGACAAAATACACGTTAAAATCTCTACGATCCATGGGATAAGAAGGTGGAAACCAATCTGTGTTGGTGTAATCCAGGCGCTTCCCTGTACCAATATTGACATATACGAACTTTTCCCAATTAGAAGCATCTACAAGCTTTGGCAAATAAGACACCTTTTTGTCAAATCCCACCGGTTTTACCTTCACGAGAGGCTCCATTTTAGGAATTAGAGGTTTGTTCCTTGTGAGAGACCGACATTCAGACGAAAAGCGAGGCTCCAAACGCCCAAATTCTTCGAGTTTCTTCTTGAATACAACCAGAATTGAGTTATTAACATGACGAACATGCATCACACTGGAAGTTTTCAGCAAAGATGACACTGGGGTTGCAGCTCTTATCAAATTATTGGGCAATGAACCAGTAGCACCCACAATAACAGCCCCAATTCCACCAGGTCTAAGCACACGCTCGATCTCGAGCACCAAAAGTGCAGGGGCTGAATGCCTGTCTAGATCTCTAGAGAAAACGAAATCAAAGGATCGATCCTTAAAGTCCAATTTGTAGACAAATTGCTTTCTCCTAAGCGAGAAAAATGGGCGTTGACCAACACCCATAACGTCACTGAATCCCATATCCCTCAATGCCAAGACGGCGGAGCTCGATTCCTCTCCAACGCAGAGAGATTTCACACCGTGATTCAACAGTTTCTTCTCCATTAACTCAATAACGACATTGGTCGTTAAGTTCATATGTTCCTCACAGTGCATCCCTACAAATGGCACCCAAACCGGATTCAGAAAATGACCCTGAAACAAGTACGATCCTCGAGAATCTTTCGCATTCGAATTCACATAATCACACTTCACAGCACAATCGCGAAAGATCACAGGCGGAATCTCCCCAAAATTAGCACCGGTCAAAATATGCAACAAAGGAACAGCCGAAACAGCCAAGGCGAAAAGAAAAGTTCGAACAATAACACGCCTCGCCAATGCCCCATGAACGATCTGCCATTTCATACCTTTCAAACTCATTTCTCCAATCGCCACTCACAACCCGCTCAGATTTCGTTCGTTTACCGTCGTCAAAGACGAACACAAAACAGGAACAATTTATAATTCCTCAAAACAACACCACAGAAGAAACAAAGCCAAATTGAGAAACCAAAACAACATTAGCGAGTACAAAACCTGGAGGATGTGTGATTTCCACCCACGAGGAGCCCCATAGATTTTTGCATAATTAACCAGACTCTCTTCGGAATCCTCATCCTTCGAATTCTCCCGTCCCAAGTCACCATCAGACTTCAAAAACCTACATCACATTCTTCGAAAAATCGACTTCCACAGCACAGAAACCTCCAAAACCCTAAATGAAACTGAAAATGGAGATCAAATTTCAGAATCGGAGCTAGGGTTTCCAGTGAAGAAGAAGAAGAATGTGAATGGAAGTAGATCTAAAACGAGTGGGACTATTATTAATTCTGTTAGATCGCTGAAAATGTTGCTAACTCCGGGTATTACGTGGCGCGAATTATAAGACACGTGTCAAGTCCTGAATGGTCGAGATTTGAGATTAGAGGATTGTGGGCCCTCAATTATTGGCCGTTAAAGGGCTTTAAAGTAATTTAAAGGGGGGCAATAGTAGTGCAAGACCGATCTTAAGTAATTTATATATATTATTTTTTGGCTTTACACTTGATAATCTTAAGTGTATGGGCCAAAAGCCCAATAGCAGAGCATCCGCATTCAAATGGGCCGAATTCTGGTTAAATGGGCCGAACTCTGATCTTAATGGGCCCATTCCTTGTTTGTCTGTGTAGTATACCAGTCTAAACAAGACAATTCAGGAAGTAAATAAAAAAGGATTAATTATGACATCAGAAATACAAATACATGACATCATCCAATTATGAAATTACAATAATGGGCTTGCCTTTTTTTTTCTTTTTTAATTAAAAAAGTCAATTATATAGATTTCATTATTCAAATTTGAGGTTAGAGATAAGAATGTGTCACAAATTGATTGGCTGATTTTTTAAAAATAGAATAGTCACCAAAAAAAAAAAAAGGAAAAATGATATTGTCGTGTATGTGTATATATGTGTGTGTATATATATTATATACACACACAGTTGTAGATTGAGATTTGGGTTCTTCTCTCGAACTTCCCGATGAATATTATGTAATGTAAAATTAGTCTAAAATCGAATAAGTATCAGGGTTACAGGTGGATGTAGCGGATTTGATTGTCCTCTAGTTGTAGGGATTTGGGGCATTGTCATGAAACGTCATGGACAAATCTAATCATCTCGCAGTTACGTGTACCAGCTCAATCAGTCACGATCAATAATCAATTAAACTAGTCAAAAGAACAATATACACCAACAGTAAAGAAAATGCCAACTAAAAGATGAATGTTATCGGATAAAACTATTAATTATCTTCGCATACAACATCATATAAAATTCTCAACTTAAATATAATATAATATAACCAAATGTCGTGTTATCCATAATTCTTTATTATTTTTTTTTTGTTAACTCAATTTTTTGCTTTCTTAAATTAATTTAATCTTGCTGCTTGCGGGTCATGAACGGAAAATGGATAGAAGTATCCATGTCAAACACCTGTAAGAGCTCACAAATTCAGCCCCCCAAGCAATCATAGGAATGCCAATGGTCATTCAACAAAGTTCTTCCATGAGAAATGGCTACTCAGGACCAAAATCTTGCTGAACAAGACGGTGGAGGCTCCATATCTCAAGGTACTTACAAAATTTTCGGTTTATATGAACAAATTTCATCTGGGTTTTGTTTGAAATCCAGATTTATTGAGTTTTTTTGGTTCTTGGTTGAATTTGTTTGTTCATTTGAGTTAGTTTTTATGTATTTGTTGAGTGTTCATACCAATCAAACTGATTGATTCTGATTGTTCTGTGATATATTTGGTTGTTTTGATTCTTCTTTGAGTTCAAGTTCATGAAGTTCTGAGTTCTATGTGTATTTCCTTAGTCAAAAACAGTTCCATTTTGATTTTCCGCTTTAAACTGAAGAACTCTGCCCTAATTTACACTAGAAATTTGATAAACTTGCTATGGAGGTTCAATCTCTTGCAGCTATGAACACTGATGAACATTCTGGGACATCGAAATTTCCCCAAATTTCAAGCCATTCTCCCAAATCCAAAAGTAACTCTGACTCTAAAGGCATTGCTTCAAACATGAATTCACAATATGAAAATTTAAGGCCAGATGTTGGAATGTCTCCGATCGTGTCATTGAACGTGGCTCGTGCCGTTGCATATCAGAGGCCTAGAATATCCAGGTCGAAATCGCTTACGAAAATTTTCAGCCCGAAATCGAAAAGAGCAGCAGATTCAGAGTCCTCGCATGGAGAGGGCATAGTTGAACATCACATCTTAACTGTAAGGATATATTCACTTCTTTGTTTGAAGACTGATTGTTTAGTACTTGTTTCTGCATCAACATGGTGTAGTATAGATATGATTGTGTTCCATAGCATCGTTTCCTCCTGCCTTCGTATACTCCACGAGGACTGTAACAGTCCAAGTCCACCGCTAGCTGATATTGTTCTCTTTGGACTTTCCCTTATGGGCTTTCCCTCGAGGTTTTAAAACACGTCTACTAGGGAGAGATTTTCACACCTTATAAGGAATGTTTCGTTTTTCTCTCCAACTGATGTGGAACCTTACAATCCACTCCCTTAGAGGCCCAACGTCTTCCCTGGCACACCACCCGGTGTCTGGCTCTGATACCATTTGTAACCACCTAAGCCCACCACCATTAGATATTGTTCTCTTTGGCCTTTCTCTTAAAGGGCTTCCCCTCAAGGTTTTAAAACGTGTCTACTAGGGAGAGGTTTCCACGCACTTATAATGAATGTTTTGTTCTCCTCTCCAATCGATGTGAGACCTTACAATCCACCCCCTGGGGGCCCCATCATCCTCCCCGACATACCACCGAGTGTCTGACTCTGATACCATTTGTAACATCTTAATCCCACCACTAGCAGATATTGTCCTATTTGGGATTTCCCTTAAAGTGCTTCCCCTCAAGGTTTTAAAACGCGTCTACTAGGGAGAGGTTTCCACGCCCTTATAAGGAATGTTACGTTCTCCTCTCCAACCGATGTGGTTACAAGGACTTTGTGGAACCGTTCTCTCAAGACGGTCGGAGAGTTCTACTCCGTTTGCTCTCTAATACGCTAGCCAATTCGAAATGCTTCCCAAAGGAGAATCAGTGCATCGAGTTATAGTGAATGCTGGGTTACACATTTTGAGATGAAGCTTATATTTTATATCCTTAAATCGTTACGACCGACATTGTCGAGACAAGACTTTATTTTTCGGGTTGAATTGGGTTCATTGTAACCATTCATACGCAACACATTATGAACCTAATCTCTTTAAGTCATTTCAATTTGATGGCTTGTCCCTTTTTGCTCAAACTATGTTCTCTATTTGATTCTTGCAGAGAGAATTGGCTCACGGGTTGATGCATCGATCCAACTCCGTACCTGATATCAGAGAAGATGGAAGCGTGTCGTTACGTCGTAACACTGTTCGTCTGACCCTGACCTCTCCACAAATTGGCAAAAAGTTTGTCATGACACCATACAAATCACCTACATATGGTAAATCTCTTATATCGTTTCGTGTTCGGTTTGTTTACGTTAACAAGATTTGTTCTCCATTCTTTAAGTGCCATGGATGCTCTGTTCTTCCTGAACTTTAATTATCAATAGATACTTTATCTTCATGATTCAGAGACGAACATAGAGACTGGTGAGCATATTTCAGAAGAACCCGTTTGCCGAATTTGCTTGATCGAGCTCGGGAACGGTCTCGAGACTATAAAAATGGAATGTAACTGCAAGGGTGAACTTGCCTTGGCTCACCAAGAATGTGCTATCAAATGGTTTAGCACTAAAGGTAACAGAACATGCGATGTATGCAGGCAAGAGGTTCATAATCTCCCAGCTGCGCTGCTACAAGCTCATGCCATTCAGGCCTACAACTTTCAAGGAAGTGAAATTGTTTCAGCTGACATTACTCAATACAGGCAAGTAAAACTACTTCCTTATACGAAGACAAATTCTATGAAGTTTTATGTTCGAGTCGAAAACTGGACTGTCGAGTGAACCAGCTGCTGCAGGGTTTGGCAGGATGTTCCTTTTCTTGTTATCATCAACGTGCTAGCTTACTTCGGTTTCCTAGAACAACTTCTGGTATTCCAGCACTTCAACTTTTCTTCTTCGTTTTGATGTTCGTTCGTATTTTGAAGTCGATGATAGTAAAGTATTGCATGTCGCGTGAGATCTCACATCGGTTGGAGAGGGGAATGAAACATTCCTTATAAGGGTGTGGAAACCTCCCTCTAGTTGACGCATTGTAAAACTGTGAGGCTGGCAGTGATACGTAACGGACTAAAGCGGACAATATTTGCTAGCGGTGGGCTTGAACTGTTACAGATAGTATCAGAGCCAGACACAGGGCGGTGTGCCAGCGGGGACGCTGGGCCCCCAAGGGGGGTGGATTGTGAGATCCCACGTTGGTTGGAGAGGAGAACGAAATATTCCTTATAAGGGTGTGAAAACCTCTCCCTAGTAGATCCGTTTTAAAATCGTGAGCCCGACAGCGATACGTAACGAGCTAAATCAGATAATATATCTTCTAGCGGTGGGCTTGAACTGTTTCAAATGGTATCAGAGCCAGACACAAGGCGGTGTGCTACGCTGGGTCCCTAAGGGGGTGGATTGTGAAATCCCACATCGGTTGGAGAGGAGAACGAAACATTGCTTATAAGGGTGTGGAAACTTCTCCCTAGTAAACGCATTTTAAAATCGTGAGGCTGTTGGCGATACATAACGGGCTAAAGCGGACAATATCTATTAATGGTGGGCTTAGGTTGTTATAGTATTTACCAGCGGTGGGCTTGGACTGGGGGTTAATAGGTTGTTTTTCAAGGCTGTTTGGATTGCTGATACCAGGGCATGTGCAGGCTGGTAAAATGGGATCAAGTGCTCTAGCTTTTTCTCTTCCCTTTTCTTGCATATTTGGTCTTCTTGCATCCATGGCTGCCGCAACAATCGGTAGGTCGATACTCGTTTTTCGAGTTCTTCTTCGGAGAACATTCTTCAACATTTGTTCTCGGTCCTCAATCCATACTAATACACTTGAATCTTCTTGTCAGTATGGAAGCAGTACATATGGATTTACGCCATGGTCCAGCTCGCTTTCGTGATCGCCTTTTCTCATGCTTTCTACTCAAAGGTAAGAGTTCGCCGAAAACCGAACCGTCTCGATGCAAAATGAAGAACATAGCAATTGTTTAGCCAACAAGTGATCATAATTCTTTGGATCTACAGCTTCATATGCAGGCCATTCTAGCCATTCTTCTTGCCACATTTTCAGGCTTCGGAGTTACAATGACGCTGACTCTCGTTCTCGAGAAAATTTTTCAACGAACCAGACTATGGCTTGATCAATCCATTAATCAAACTCCATCAGCAATGCAGTCAAATGGATCGTCAGCAACCACACATCAAGTGCACGCGGATCCTCCGCTTGGTCTTCGTCGGGGACCCGAGGAGCCGATGCAGACACGAACATTGTCCGCAGCCTCGTGCAGAAGTCAAATCGATCCTCCCGATCAAGATATCGAAATGGGAACTTCAGGAGCTTTGCATCAGAGACAGGCCATATCAGTGTGCCATTGACAAGGAGTTCTTAGTCTTGTATATGCTTGCTTCTCTGTATTTTTTTCCCCAATTGATTTTAGATGATAATGTAAATAATTTTTCTATGCGGTTTATATTATTTATGAACTCGAGATCGCTGATATAACAACTCAAGCTCATCGTTAGCCGATAGTCTTCTTTGAGCTTTTCCTTTCGTACTTCTTTTCAAGGTTTTAAAACGCATCTTCTAGGAGGAAGTTTTCACACCCTTATAAAGAATGTTTCGTTCTTTTCTCTAATTGATTCGGGATCTCACAATCTACTCACCTTCAAGGTCTAGCGTTCTCGTTGGCACCCATTCCCTTCTCCAATCAATATAAGATCTCACAGTTGAAAAATTATACAAAATAGTTTCGAAAGTTATTTGACTTCTAGTTGACTAAAAAAAACATGACGTTGTAGTAACTAATTTGACGATTTGACATAGTGTAGTGTAGTGTTGTTATGAGTATTATATTTTTTACTGACACAGTAACTTTTTAGAAGGTCAACTTTGTTCTTTTTTTTAATTTTTTTTGGTATTTTAACACAAAAAGGTACACATCATCACACAATAATTTTTATTTTTTTTAAAAAAAACTTTGTTCTATTTTTTCTTTTTGTGCATTTCCATAAATCTCCCTTTTGAAAGTCCTTTGAGCTTCCCAAAAAAAAAAAAAAAAAAAAACCTTGAAATTAGGGGATGTCCTATTGAGTATTGACCATTGACCAATTATTATAGGACTTTTTTTTTTATTTTTTATTTTTACTTTTACTTGGAAAGTAAAAAAAAAGTTAGGGCAAAGTCAAATGTGTAGGGCTGGGTGCCCCAAGCAACTGTGCTTCTCTTGGAACAAAAGTGCCCTACAATCATTCCTAGGACCCTGTTTTTTTTTTTTTTTTTTTAAAAACATTTCTCTTCAATTGGTGTCTTGAGATTCTCAATTTATAAACATCCTTGGAAACTTAAACGCATACCCTATAACCCTCTTCGACTCTCTAATCTAACAACATATTTAAATGACGAAAATGTCGTGTTATCAAGTTTATAAAAATATCGATATCGATTTTTTCTTATGGTATAATGTAAATGCGATTACGTGAGATCTCATATCGGTTGGAGAGGGAAACGAAACCCTTCTTACAAGGGTATGGAAACATCTCCTTAATAGACATATTTTAAAACTGTGAGACTGACGGTGATACATAGCGGGCCAAAGCGGTCAATATTTGCTATCAGTGAGCTTGGACTATTACAAGTTTGATAGTGAAAGTGCACCTGAAAGATAAATTTATTTGATTGGGAAAGGAACGAGACCCGTAAAAAGTGAAAAGGATAGACCATTAGTGGACACTGACGTGGTGCTTGATACACCACGTCTAACGTTTAAGTTAAGCACAAATAATTTGAGTTAGCAGGTGATGAGAAATGACTTACTCTTTCTATTTTAGGATTTTTCCGTTTCCACTGTGAACTAGGTTAATAGGTCTGAACAAGGATTCTACTGGTCTAAAGTACCGATGAAGCATGCTCTCTTAAAAGACCGACCATAGCGTTAGTGTAAGATTCCACATGAGTTAGAGAAAAGAACGAAACATTTCTTATAAGAGTATGAAGATCTTTCCCTAACAGACGCGTTCTAAAACCGTGAGGTTGACGACAATACGTAACAGGCCAAAACAAACAATATCTACTGGTGGTGGACTTTGACTACTACACTTAGCCTCGGCTTACCTGGCTCGAGCCTTATGTGTTGCGTAATTAATAGTAAAGTTGCTCACAAATTGCATTATTATTATCATTATTTTCAATTATTGTTTCCTTAAACTCGCCGACGTTGACCAGGTGGTGGCTGCCGGCCAGATTAATTTGATTTATAGTCAAATATATATTTATATATTTATATATAATAAAGTAGTTTTCGCTGGCAAATGCAATAATTTGAAAGCGAAATTACGAAGAAAAAAAAAAAAGTTCAAACGACAAAATATAAAATAACAAGAAGAAGAAGAAACAAAGAAGAGGTTAAATGCATGGCCGATTTTACTACTTTCTTAAAACTGTCAACTTTCAACATTCGCCGGTGGCCCCCGCCGCCGTCACCTTCTGACCGTTTCCGCCGCCTTGCACTGTAAAAGAGCCAGGCCTTCATATCATTATGGTTTATAATGCAGCTGGTTAAAAATAAAGCGCTGTAATATATATATTTTTTTTTTATTTACTGACCTTCAATTTTGATTGAATTTGATGGGGTTTTAGTGGTTGAATTGGCTTAGTCCCATTGTTGAGTTTATGGCGGCGAATTTTGCAAGCTCCGGTGGGAGGAACGGTGGCCGAGGCGGTTCTCCTCCTCCGACACCGAGGAAATCCCTCGTTTGACCGCTACTTCTCATTTTGTTAGTATCTGCGTTCATTAAGAATATGAATAAAAGATTAAATTCGTCGTAATTGATCTCGTTTACGTTATAATTCTATAAAAATTTCTAGCCCTATTTACCATTTGGTGGTAGTAGAAGTTGGTTGAGGCAATCCGAGCTCAAGTCGGAGTTGTTACCAACCATCTGCACCGAGTCGGCCATCGTCGGGCTTCTAGATTTATTAAACGAGTTCAATGACGAAGACGACGAGCTCATTACTCCGAACGCGCCAGCTCCAAAGAGCGGAGAATTATTATTGTTGCTGCTTCTAGTAGAGCCCATAAGAGCAGCTTTTTGTAGAAGGGCGGTGGCTGACATCGGAGAAGACGAAACGAACGACTGAGAAGATTGACCTAATAACGCGGCGGCTGCCGTAGCCTTCGACAAACTTCCCTTATTGTCAACGTCTTCCTTCTCAATCAGCGGCAATACTGAAAGCCCGCTTTCGGTCATCGATCCGAAAAGATTGGAGGAGGAAGAAGAAGCTCCAAAAAAGTGGGAAATGTTGTTGTTGTTGTTGATTGCATTATCAACAGAAGCTTGGTTTAACCAAAGGGACAATGGAGATCTGTTCTTGTGTTGGTGTTCTTCAAAATCTCTCAAGAAATTATCTGAATTACTGAATTGGGAAAGCCCAGGAACATCTCCAAGAGATTCAAGGTTGTTTTGTTCTTGTTGATGAAGAACAATTGAATCATTTCTTAAATTATTGAGAATATTTGTTGCTGAAATTGTTGTGATTCTTGCACTTTCTTCAGCTAAAGCATCACAAAATGCTCTGTGGGTTATGAAGCTGTCTTTCCTGATCAAGAAAAAAAAACATCCAACATTTAATTCTCCAATCATTGCCAATTTTGTTATAAATCAATGTCTGGTCAGAGATAATCGAAAAATGTGTTTGATTTTCGAGTTCGATCGATTCGTTTATGTGTTTATATCGAACTATTAGTAATTTCAATTGAGAGGTTAGGGGTTCAAATCTTGAGCTTACCGGGAAAAAAGAGTTCCACAATCGCACTTATATTCTCGAGTCCCACAAGTTTTGGAGTGAGCTTTCCAATCGGATTGAACCGCGTATTTCTTAGAACACTTATCACATTTCCACTTCTTCTCGCCGTGTTTCCTACTGAAATGTTTCTTTATCCCGGTCAAGTCACCGAGGGCTCGCGATGGATCATGATGTACACACGTCTTCTCCGGGCAAATATACACCTTCTTCTTGATCATCTCCTTGTTTGTCCGCTGTCGTAGCTTCCACGGAAGGTTATGCCCTCGTCGGTGAAGTTGTAGATTCTGATCTCTTTGAAAGCCCTTGTTGCAAATTTCGCATACGAATCTATTCGTCGCCATAAGCGATTTCGGCGACAAAGCAATAACCTCAGCATCTGGATCTGTAACAACAACAACAACTCAATCACTGAACTTAAAAAAAAAAACGATCGGTGAAGAAGTGGAAAACGAAGCTCACCTGGGGTTCCCGGGAGGTTGCGTTTCTTCTTCGTTGCGGTCGAGGGTTTCGATTTAGGGTTAGCATCTTGGTGTGGAGCAAAGGGAGTGGTAGTGGAAGAGAGAAGAGAAAAAGGATTACTTGACATGATTTCCTTTTTGGGGTATTGGTTTAGACAAGAACAAACAAGAAAAAACCAAGGATCTTGTGTTTTTTTTCTCTCTTTTTTACAAACAAACAGTGGGACGACGATGACGACGACGACGACGACGAAGACGATTTGTCAAACAAAGGAAAGGGAAGAAGCTAGCTAGGGTTATGCCAAAAGACAGTAAAAACCAAAGCTTGGAAGAGGAAAACAAAACCAAATATGATGAAAGAAGAAAGAGGGTTGAAGATGAGAGAGTGTTTGTAATGGTTTGGTTTTAAGAAAACACCAAAAACCAACATGTTTTGCTTTTAAAACAGAACATGTTTTGCTTTTTTTATTTGACTGTCTCTCTTTCCTATTCAATTCTTTCTCATTACTTCATCTTTTTGGCAGCATTTTTGAGCTCAAATCTACAAAAAAGGGGGACCCTTTATACTTCTATTTGAGTTATTTTCAAACCCTATCGTATAAATGTATATTAATTTTTAAAAAACAGATGTAGACTTCCTAACTACACCTAACTCAAACTCTATGTTTGTACCAACCTTTTTTGTCTTGTGAATCATATGAAACTTGTTGTTGTTGTTGACTTATTGTGTTAATAGGTTTAGGGTTTGAAACCTATGGTTTTGTGTCATTTGTATGTTTAGATGCGTGAGGAAATTTGAAATTTTGACCTCTGGATCGATGGTGTATATATGTATAATATGCCTAGAATTATGTCCAGGATTGAGATCAAGATTTGAAATATGGATTTGACACGCATCCACTGTGTCATAATCGTATTCTTGTAGCAGTCGAATAACGATTGTGCGGTACTTGTTCTAATCCAGTGAATAAGTCAGCCACATACATGATTTTGGGAGCCTTGGCGGGTATAGACGTGATTTTGGTGACGGGTCATACACTCCTGTATTGATACAATAAGAATAGTAAAGACCTATCTAACATGAAAAGTAAGTAAAAGGGGTTTTGTAACGGGCATGCGGCCATGGAAAACACGTTCTAGATAAGCATGACCGAGACATCTGACATGCGGTTACAAACATCACCTCTCGGACAAGCATGACTGGGACACACTATGACATGGTTATGTTACCTACTTATCTTAAAAGAATTAAGACCACGACTTGAAATCTAGATTTGACACATGACAATCCATATATTCATTTGCATCTACTGCACTTTGTTGATATAAGTAGTAATGATCGATTTTTTAAGCATTTCTTAACAATCATAACCTCAAAATCATTCTCGTTCATTCATGTACTTCTCCTTTCAATATCTTAACTAGTTAAACTATACTCAAGTTGACTACATGAACTTCTAACCAATTCATATGTCAAATACCGCCTCCCAAATATACTTTGTCAAGGGTCAACAAAAATGTTCTTCACTCATCAATAACTACTACCATTTGATTGTCTTTTTCAATTAGAAAACATAAAAAAAGTACAATATTCTTTTATTTTATAAAGAACGATTACCTAAACAACGCTCACTCTAAACAACTTCAATTAATAAACCTCTATCGATAAGATCGGTACACGTATGAAACCCTAAAGTCTAATTTTTTAAATAAATTCAGATCATTAATCAATTTTCACATTTATTCTCAAACACTACCTAAAATTTAAAAAAACGTCTCTAAAATTAAAAAAAAAATACATTTGAATATCATCGAACCTCTAACGTATCAACCCGATCGATGTAATTCCCCGGGTGAATATTAATAATAATAAAATAAATAAATAAAATAGGGAAATAGTGGAAGTTTAAAAAGTATAGAGGGGAAAAGGGTGCATTGTAATGGGAAGCAAACAAGTACCTAATCTACATAGAAGTAATAAACTGAGAGATGATAACATGCAAAGGCTGTGACAGTTTTAATAATCACAGTAAAAAGGTGGTCCGATTTGATTGATTCGCCCTACGCCAACTAGGTTTCAAATTAAAAATAAATAAAATTCTATTTAAATTTAACTTCAATATTTTTTTTTTTTTATAAAACTAAAATTAAAAAAATTATTATTATTTTAAAATTTTTGTGTTTAATATTAAAAATATGAAAGTGAATTTTATTTAATTTAAAAAAAGAAAGAAAATAATGAAAATGAAAAAAAGTAAGATGGCTTTTTATAGGGGAGAATGATTAGGTCATAATTAAAGGTTGAATGAAAGTAAAATTGGGCGATGTGGGATTCGTACAGCTGAGGCTCAGAAACCAAACACTGAGACACAACACAGAACACAGAACACAGAGAAGAGTGAGTTTACGTTTTCCCATGTTTTTTTTCCTTTTTTCTTTTTTTTTTCTTTCTAATTCACACAACATCAATCCGTGATACCCTTACTTGTCTCTTTCTATTTGGTATTCAATCCTTCATTTCAAAAAATTATGTGTTCATCATAATGATGTTGTTGAGTTTGATTATCTGACATGACTTCGGTTTTTTATTTTGTCTAAGTTGTCACACCCGAGTAATAGAGAAGTACATGAATAAACTGAAATTACATTCAAACGAGAGCGATCCTGAGAATATGATGAGAGTTACTATCTATTATTAGTAACAAGGTGCACGTTCCTTTTCAGTGGGTCAATCATACGAACTCGATGGTTGAGTGTGCTTGAGTAACCTCTTAGACATTTTCCTATTATACACATGAGTGAGAACAAAACATGCTGAAATGACTTGTATTGGTACGTGGGGATAGTTTTCACGGTTAGAAGTGAGAAGTAGGTAATGTAATCATGTTGTAAAAGAATGTCGGGGCCATCTTGTGTCGAACCCTGATTCAAATTCTGGGCATGGATCGTTATATAAGTGTTTGTTTCTCATATGGGGATTTTGAATTGGGTTTGTTTGATTCGAGTTGATTTTGATCGTTCGATTTTCACATGTCTTGATTGATTTTTGTTTGGTTAAAAGAGTTAAATGTAGTTTATTCGAGTATCGCTTAATGGTAATAATTTACGTGAATAAAAAAAAAAAAAAAAAGAAGAAAAGGATAAATAAATGAATACAATAATTTGGGGACAAATCAACAAGTTTTTGTCTTGTTTCGCTTGGATTTTCCTTCACAGCACATATGCTTTTCCCCATCCCAAGTTTGGTATCCAATGTTTTTTTCTCTCTCTCATCTTTCTCTCACTAACACAAAAAAAAAAAACCCTAATTTCCGAGGTGGGGAAGACACTGAGCCCTAAACATATATATATGTCCGATCAGATAAGGACACACTCCAATATACACGTTGCATGGATGAGAGAGAAAACTTATAGAGAGAAAGTGGGAAATCCCATTATACCCTTTCTCGAGAACGTGTAGAGAGAGAAAAATTGATTGAATATGATCGATACAATGTGATTATCTGATAATAAGTAGACGTAGGTTTAAAATCTGTGTATATATAATTTAGATTTGAAATATGTTAATAATTATCGACCCCTGAAGGAGAGAAAGAAGTTGGTTTGATTACGCCGCCACGTAAATATTAATATTAGGTTAAATTGGGTTCGTTTCCATTAAGTTCGTCTTTTTTAAAAAAAGGAAATTAAAAATTTAGATATTTTTTAATTTTCAAAAACTTAATTAACACAAATCTCATATCGGGTGGAGAAGAGAACGAGAAAACCTCTTTTTAGTAGATGCGTTTTAAAACTGTGAGATTGACGGGATACGTAACGAGTCGAAGAGGATAATATCTGCTAGTGGTGGGTTTGGGCTGTTACAATCACGAACGACTCATCGATCTTGTCATACACGTCGTTAATTAATATGTCGAACTTTCAGTGATCAGATGATGTCAGCAATACGTATGATTACGATAGGACGACGTAGTACTCGTTTTGAGTTGAAGGGAAGAGGAAGTGCTTTGGGAATTGGGAATAATACAAACCACATAAGTCTCTATCCATGAAACAAAGGGGATGGCAATAATGTTGACCTTTGGATGTACATTTTGGTAATTTTATTTAGTTAAAATTTTAAAAGTAATTTCTACGCAAATGCATCCCGGGTCCATTTATATACTCGTACGAGTAAGAAATAGGCCAATTTAGCAGCTTTTTTCTCAATTTTTCTTACTCGTTTTCATTTCGGACAAAACATCTAAATGAAATGTATTTCCACGATGCTTCATCCCACTCATCCCTTTTTCCATCTTGAGAGCAAACTTTTTTTTTTTCTTTTTTTTTTTAATAAAGATTTGGGCCATCACAAATAATAGCCAATTTGAACATATGTCAGTGTATAATATCATCTCGAGGATAGTATCGCTACACAAGACGTTTTTTCCGGACAACTCGTCCCAATGCATTTATACCTCGAGAGAATCTTTACCTCGACTTTTTTGTCAGGTATATTATAATTGAATAACGACATTATTTAATTTAATTTAATTTAATTTAATTCCACAAGAAAAATATAGTGTTTAACGTTCATTGAGCCATGAATTAATGACAAATAATCAAAGTCCTTTGATTTCAACTATATACCCATAGAATGTTCTTTGGTCTTCACTAAATAAATAAATAAATAAATAAATAAATACTCCCACATGCACATTATTAAATAATTAATTTCTTCGTGTTAGGTTCTAATTGATACATAATATATGATATTTTAATTATTTGTTGATTAACGAAAAATTAATTTTATATTTATTTTTTATATGAACAGAAAATGACATTATAAAAAATACACGTAAGTATTGTCAAACATTATTAAATGTATATAAGATTTAAAAAAATCAAGAATCCAAGGAGAAAAGGACATGAAATGGAATCAAATGGCATCAAGTTGGATTTTAATTATTATCTTTTAACCCTAGCTGCATTTTCGGCATTTTCGGCATGGACGCTGTATCGCACTCGAAACTGGAAGGATAAAAAATTTACTCGGTGAACTGTCGAGCTACAAGTCCCACGGCATAGGACCGGGATTACCCCATTAAGGCTTCATCCGACTTCAACCTACAAACTAGACCAGATATATAAAAACATTTTATAAAAAATTGATAACGGGAAGAAAGCAAGAAAATGATAGCAATCGGTTCAGGAGCGTCACAAAATGATAGCAATCGTCATGGTCTACACGGGCCTACAAATGCTTATTTACAAAATCAATCTTTCATATATATATATATATATATATATATATATATATACACTAATTCTTCGTAAAATTTAAAAAACAAAAATAAGTTTTTGAAAATTATTTTTTAATTTAAAATTTTGATTGGTTTTTATGTGGAAAACGTATTTATAGACTTAATTTAAAAAC